GGTCTCCCAGTATGTAAATGTATGTGTTGGGTCTGATTTCTCGGCAAAAGCCAGCACCACATGGAGGTCTCCGTCACTCTCCAGAGACAGGTCCTGCTGGAGGGTGTCTCGGTTCACTCGAGATCTGTCAGCCACGCCTCCTCTGCTGAGAGCCAGGACCCCAACTATCTGCTCACCCGCGTGGGACTTGCTGTGGAGATTATATAGAGTATAATGTGTGAGCATGATAGGTTGTAGAAATGAAAACATTATTCAGATCATTAAGACAATTTATGAAGGATTGCTGTTGTGACATCATACAGTGTTTGTAGTAGCAATACGTTTGTCCTTTTCTGTGGACTGTACATAATTTTCGAAACTCACGGGCGAATTGAATGTTGGTGCCACAGTATTAATGTGTATATGGAGATCCCATCTTCTCATTCATGACCATGAAACATTGACCAATGATTGCATTCATTGAGTGTTTTGACTGCCGCTACTCTGTTGGTAACAGTTATTACGGCTCCAACCAATACCCCAGAGGACTTTAAAATTGCAGTCACCAATAACTAGTGTGTGAGTACGTACATATGTATGTAGCTATAATTAACCCTCGGCGCTCACGCACAGCGAGGGTTACAGTAGTCTGTGTGTCTGTCTGTCTGTCTGTCTGTCTGTCGACGCTTATTCTGCCATTACAGGCTACGAGGTGGCCAATGAGCAATACCAACGGCTTCAGAACTACGCGAACCTGAAAAAATATTAGGCGATTTTCCTGAAAGGACTGCGTTCGAGAGGCATATATGAGCTAATCGCGCTGGCTTACCTCGAACTAATCTGCCTACTCCGCGTACACAATAAGTTACAACAGAGGGCGTGTGTCGACTCCCGCATGCAATCTACTAGTGTGGCTAGCCCGTGTCAGACTCTCCGCGAACTACTAGCGGGAGACCACGAGTAGATAGCCTAGCCCCAGCCCATCAATTTAGCGATGCGTAGTGCGCCGAGGGTTTGCACTTTAGTGAACTAGCAACAAACACAAACACTTCTGGATATGCTGACACAGGATATACACTGACCACCCAATTCTAAAACTCTGGGACCAGTGGGAAGTTGATAGTGAGCTGGAGCGTGGCTTACGGTTCAGTATTATCCACGTATTTGGAGAGAGTGAAGGCCTTTAGCTTGAGGTGGTGCAGGAAGTGGAAAATGAATCGCTCCCTCACTCCGCCGTCCACTGGGAGCAACCTCATCTGGAGACACACACACACATACACCATAGTACACACCTCACTATAAAGATTAAGCTCTGGCCTCTACCAAACACCAAACACAACAAACTCTTATAATAATGGACACTCTTTAACAAAATGACAACCTTCTATAAGAACACTATCCAATAAGGACAATGTGTCAATATTCCACTGCAAAGTGTCTGTGTGTGGTTAAACATACTCTCTCAATAAAGTCGGTCATCATTCGTGAAGAGCACTCCTTGAACTGATGAAGATCTCTAAAGTCGAGACTGTTACGGGAAGAAACATAGTGTAACACTCACTCTATAGCGGGTACTATATATAGCTGTAGTGTATGTATACTGGGCTAAGGAGGAGTTCGCACCATTTCCTGTGCTTCTTCTCGTTATTGTCGTCTTTGACACGAATGAAGAAAGGAATGTTCATTTACACCCACCTGACCTACAGAGAACAGTGCACGCGAACCTTACTTTAAGTGACCTCCCATTTTTCAACTCTCTGAGACGATTAAAAATGTATCAGTTGTTTTTACAAAGCCGTTGATAATAAGCAGGCATTTCGTTCTAACTAAGGTTCTATTATACAACTTCTACTCATTCACTGACCTCCTTGAAGTTGGTGCTGATGTGGATGATGCAGGGAGGGAGGAAGGGCCATTGAGAAAGGTAAATACGACGACTTGCCACTCTGTGAACGACACAATACTCTGATCTCGCCACATGAGAATTCTAAATAAATTTTAGACTGAGTATGAATGAGGCTGTATGTGGTTTGCATAGCTTTCACTCCTTCTGTTTGGGTTCCCTCGCTCCCTCCCTCCTCCCCACTCACCACTACAAACCCCTGGAGGAAGAGGTTTGGTTCGTAGTTGAAGAAGTCCATGTTGTCATCTCCGTCCATGGAGGAGGGAGGGGGACAGGCCAGTCGAGAGAGCTTCTTCTCCTGATCTGACAAGAACAGACCCAGTGTCCAAAGTCATTCTAGCATAAAAATGATTGGTGGTCATATTATTTTTTTACATAATGATAGCACCATGACACACAAGTTAAGTTTCGCTTTGCCAATGGTTCTTTGTATTCACAAGTTTTACAATTTAGTTACATTATCTTACGGTGTTGACACTCTGTCTGTCTTCCCCTGCCACTATGGCATGTCCAGAGCACTGCAAGAGACAAGTTATGGAGCTACAATACAGAGGAAGAAATTCGCAGTTATTAGAGACACATGATGACTGGGGGACAGGGGAACTCACTGCTCGAGAAATTTTCTCATTGCCTCTAAAGGTATGTCTGATGAACCTGGACAGGGGAATTATATATTTCTCATCTGCACGGTTTAGCAGTTTAGACCATTACACATGTGAACTAACAAACCGTTTAGAGTGTCTATGTAAATGCACAGAGGCTCAATTAGAGACTTGCGCAACAGCTGGTGAACTTTTGCCTCATAGAAAGAGAATCTGGTGAGATACTCTTGCATTTCCGAGTGAGGGAGGACCAGAATGAAGGAGAACACCTCCGGCCGGCCCTGGCTGATCTCCACCGTGAATATGAATGCCCCTGCAAAGAACTTGGACTCGATCCCGAGGATTCGCTCCGTTCGTCCCAGCTCATTGTTGAGAGAGTGGATGGCCACGCTGAGCAGGGTCGGTGGTTTGGGGAGGGGAGACGGCGCCGCCATGTGCTTCCCCGTCACTATGAAAACCAGACAAAAACATTATTGTTCAATGTGTGTCAGTTCAGCTGTAGGTTTAGACCTAGGGGTGAGGTTGATTTTTCGTCTCTGCTCCATATGCTGAGTATCTTGGGCCCGTGGATATTGTCCCACATGCAGAGAAGAGCGGACGAGACGTAATTCCCGCCCCTGCTCACCAGCGGCCGCCGGTGAAAGTGCGTTTCTTCAGCCGAGAGACCTTTGATGGGCATCATCTTTGCCACTTCAATATTTCCGACGTGACCAGCCCCACCCACTTTACTTATAATTGGAGCGTGGGTTTTGTGCAAGCGCGTTCTTACAGAGAGAGAGAAAGGGAGGGAGGGGAAACAGGAAACGGAAAGTTGAAAGAATGTATTTGTAATTGACCTACAATAACAGGCCTAGTTATGTCTCTGTGTGTAGCACACTAGCTATTGCATGTAACCCTAGAACTACAAAACCATGTTACGTGACATATAATATGGATTCCAGTCTGGTATATAGAGTGGCCTCGTCCTTTCCGGAGTGGCTCTCATGTCGGGAGTTTAAAGAGGCCGATACCATGTTTGACCCCATGAAAGATAGGGAACTCCCCTGATGACCAGGGTAGAAGCACCTGTGTCGGCATGCTGGACTTACGTATAGACGACATACATGTACATTGTGGCTGTGATGCTGATAAATGCCACCCCACCCTTCTACCATTCTCACTCTAACCCCAAAATTGCTTCCTCTACTTACCAATACATAAACACACACACACAGTGACACGAAGAAAGATGCAGGTGAGTCTAGCTCTATCTTGATAACTGACTTCATGACACTATCATGAAATTATAGTTTATTACTAGGTCATTGCTATGTTTATTTTAGCACAATAAATCAGCTACCCACCCAAGAGGGTGAGAATATCCACTGTGGTTAGGGTAAATAACTAAGGAATGGTGTGAATATCCACTGTGGTTAGGGTTGGTTTTTATGTCGACGCTGACAGATCGAGGGAGCGAATGGCAGAGGCTTTCCGTTTGGAAGTCGAGGGTTGGGATTCTGAGACGTCGCTGCAAGACTCCGCGTCCGAGAGTAGCGCTCCTGGGGACGGGCCGTCGGCATCTAAAAGGCGTAGGCTCTCGCTGACAAGGAAGAGGGCTACGTGCACTACTTCCGCAGCTACAGAGAGGTTTGAATCTTTAGATGATGCAAAGAGCGAGGCTCTCAGCAAGAAGTTTGTGCCTACGCCTTTTAGATGCCGACGGCCCGTCCCCAGGAGCGCCAATCTCGGACGCGGAGTCTTGCAGCGACGTCTCAGAATCCCAACCCTCGACTTCCAAACGGAAAGCCTCTGCCATTCGCTCCCTCAATCGCTCCCTCGATCTGTCAGCGTCGATCGGGCTGAGCGGCGCGATAGATATGCATGCGCAGGTTCACGCGCATCGCCTTATTTGGGTGGATGCGCCATTTTCTCGCGCGGTTTCCCCAACAACGACCAATCAGCGGTAGATAAACTAGTAGGCGAATGCATGGCATTTTTGGCGAGCGGGAGCGAGCACACAATGACTCATCTGCACGAGCCATCCTACAACTTGAACATTAGAATCACGAAGATTGGAAGGAGGTATAGACAGCCTCGGTCAGGTATGGAAGAGCGCAGCGAATGGCAGCAAATAGACGAGAGTTGTTTGGCTGGCTATATTTCGCATCGATATGACAGCTAGGTAGCGTGTAAAAATTTGCGCGTTCCCTATCACGAAAGCGACGCTGATACAAACCAGCCTCTCTGCTCAGGAGTCTCACGGGCACGATGTTCTCTTTCCCACTCTCTTCGACGACGAAGGGCATCTTCCCCGGACTATATGCACATGTATAGATACGCACGACATCACAGACAGGCAGGCAGCATGTGAAATTTTTGAAATCCTTTCGGATAAAAAGAAGCGCGTAATCCTGGAGCATGCGCAGTTTGACGACGTACGGTCGTAAATAATTGGCGAGCGGGAGCGAGTTGAACGGCGCGATTTTTCTTACGACCGTTCGTATCCACGCGCTTCTTTTTATCCGAAAAACATTTCACCGTATATATGAAGCCAACCGCCACAGTTTCTGCGATGGATCGGTTGCGTGATAGGAAACGGGCAAGGCAATGCCTGGCCACGGAAACAACGGAAGAAAGGGAAGCACGACTAGCGAGAAGTCGTGTACGAGCAAGAGCTACACGTGCTGCGGAATCAGAGGAATTAACGCAACAGGCAAGGCTCCAACAGATCCGAAGCTATCAGACAAGGCGAATTGCCGCCGAGTCTGCCGAGGAGAGAGAGGGTCGACTACAGTTACTACACAGGAATCAACAGCTTTTTGCGCATGCACACAATCGTTAGATCGCTCCCGCTCTAACTAGTAGGTGAATGCACTGCATTTTCGTCGAGTGGGAGCGATCTAACGATTTGGTGCATGCGCAAAAAAGCCTGTGTAGTAACTGTAGTCGACCCTCTCTCTCCTCTGCAGACTCGGCGGCAATTCGCCTTGTCTGATAGCTTCGGATCTGTTGGAGCCTTGCCTGTTTCGTTTCCTCTGATTCCGCAGCACGTGTAGCTCTTGCTCGTACGCGACTTCGCTAGTCGTGCTTCCCTTTCTTCCGCTGTTTCCGTGGCCAGGCGTTGCCTTGCCCGTTCCCTATCACGCAGTCGCCGTCGAGAAAGACGAGCCTCTCTTTGTTCAGAAGTCTCACTGACACGACGTTCTCTTTCCATTTCTCGTCGACGACGAAGGGCATCTTCTCTAGACCGATCCATCGCAGAAACTGTGGTTGGCTTCCACGAGTTATATATACGGTGTAAAAATTTGAAATGCTTTTCGGATAAAAAGAAGCTCGTGGACGACGTACGAACGGTCGTATATGAAAAATCGCGCCGTTCGTACCACTAGGTTAGCTCGCTCCCGCTCGCCAATAATAGAAAATCCGCGCCGTTCGTACCACTAGGTTAGCTCGCTCCCGCTCGCCAATTACACTTTTGTCGTGGTGCTGCGGTTTATCCGCCCTCGGGGAGTCGGGCGGATAAACCAGCAACACAACTCCAAAAGGTGTAATAACATAACTAGTGGAAATGTTGAACATCGTTGGCGAGCGGGAGCGACCCAACTTGGGATTTGTCCGCGATGTTCGGGCTGCATAACGTGCTGCCAGCGCACAGCTTTCCTTTCGTGAAGCAAGACAGAGCTACCTGTCGCCGTTTACATGCGTACTGTATATTGGCAGAACGGTCCTTACCTTAGGCTTTCAGCTCGTCTGTCGTGGTCCACCAGGCAGCTGGCATGGCAGTAGGCTAGGCAGCGATTGATCGGGTTGCCCGACAACGCGGCGTGGTCTACCAGGCAGCTGGCATGCAGCAGTATGTGCACGAGCAATCCTAGGGTATTTGCAAGTTGCAGCTTGGAACCATGAAGATTGGGAAGAGGTACAGCCTCGGTCAGTCAGCGAAGGTTGCAGCGCATGCCGTCGAATGGCTATATAGATCGATCGACGCATGTGTGAAAATGTGTAAAAATTTGGAAATAGTTTCGGCTAAAAAGAAGCGCGTACAAAGACGCGCATGCGCACTTACACGGCGTACGACGGTCGACGGTCGTAGTATAGAAATTCCGTTCGAACGAACGACTAGGTTGGCTCGCTCCCGTTCGCCAATTATACTTATAGCATAGCTACTAGAGAAAACCATAAAAATCACCACCAACATTATATCCACAAATCCCAAAATATCCATACAAAACACATTCACAAATAGCTACACATGACATGACATGAGAGCAGGACACTGGCATGGGTACCCAGCCTTGAGAACCGGGGCGGTGGGTAAAGAGTCTTTTATGGCTAGCCAACTCTCCACACACACCCAGCATCCAAACTCCACATCACAAACAATGACAGCCACACAGGGAGTAACTGTCACGACAACACATGTAGAGTATGATACATATAAATATATACACAAACATAGATGGTAGAATAATGAAATTATGTATATACACAGCATTATTGAAAGACTAAACCTCCTTTTGTTGCCTTTCAGGTGGGTAAAATATCAGTTATGAAAGGCAACAAAGGGAGGTTTAGTCTTTCAGTAATGCTGTGTATACACTGCCACATGAACGGAGCCTTCATGGAGCCCCAAGGTAGAGTTTATGACTGGGAAAATTTGGTAACAGTATGCATAAAAAATTAATATGGCTGACATTGGCCGAGTTTGAAACTGATATGAAAACATAATATTTTATACACACACGCTATTCTGACTTCCACAAAACCTTCTGGACCTCTAAAAGGTGCTATGATTAAAGGAAAATCCGAGAGTATGCTTCAATTTCTCAATCTGTTATGAAAGTAGTGAGTCTGGTGACCATAGCACTCTTTTTAGACAGTGGTGATCATTGTATTCACTCAAAAAAAGTGCCAGCATTAATTCTGCAAGAGTTAAACCAGAATCTAATTCTGCGTACTTCCACTCCCCCTGAAACCCACTTAACACTGCCTATATATTGTAGGAGTCTTAAATGGTGCAATTTCACTGATGACTGAAACGTGATAATTATTGTTAAAGCTCTTCCCCACAAAGCTTTACATTGCTCATTATAAGGAAGACACTCTTCCTGTTTAATGTGATTCACACGTCCTTTGGTTAGAGATGTCACTAGAAGCTGATACATGCAAGGGGTCTCCTCCAGCATGCCACCATCATTACTTTCTCCGATAATATATACCTCCTGTCCTCCATTTACGAGCTCCAGCTGGTGATTTATCAGGTACCTTCAAATTCGTGAGTCACTGCGGGTTTATGACAAGGATACAACTGCATTAAACTCTTCGGGCAAGTTCGGTGAGTTTCAAAAGGGCTCGAGCTTTTGCCCCTATAGTAATTAAATGGATAGCTTTTGCCCCTATAGTAATTAAATGGATAGTTTTTGTATGAGGGAAGATTCGGTTCTAGGCACCAATACCTTTCTCATGAAAGGCAGTGGAGAAGTTCACAATGCAATTCCCTGCTTACATCTTTGTTAGTGATTTGAGCGCGAGTTTTACTACTGTCACAGCAGTGCCCCGTCACATACGTTCAGAGCAGAAGGCCTCATTGTGTTCACCCCAATACGGCTAGCAAGAGGTTTATTGGGACCACGGTTATATTATGTGAAAACTTTCGTTGTCCTTGGTGTTGTTGTTGATGATTTGGTCTCTGGAAAT